CCGGATACTGAAAAATAATTTGAAAAATAAAGTTAATTCACTAAAACAAAAAAACAAGCAATTGGAAAAAATAGGCAACTTATCTTTTTGAGATAACACTCAATCTTTGTTCAAATTCGAGTACTTTCAAAGGTACAATGAGACAAAAACAAATTTACCTTTAACATTATCTTCAATTTGTCATCGGAACGATCATCATGAGACCACCATCTGAAACGTGCTGACGCCCGCCACAGCCCCCCTCTCATCATTCTGTAGACAAGTTTTTATTAATTAGCAAAGTAGTAAATCAAGAAACAAAGGAACGAACGAATAAATGATTAACTGAATGATTGAACGATTGGTTGAATGAATAAATTAACTAATTAATCAACCAATGATTTAATGAATGAATAGAATGAATCAATGAATAAATTAACTGAGGAATAATTTGAAAGATAGTGATAAAATGAATAAATGAATGAGAAAAATAAAAAAAGAAACTAAATCATACTTCAAAAACCGTCGTTGTTATCTTCGATTTGTCATCGGAACGATCATCATGAGACCTCCATCTGAAACGTGCTGATGCCCACCACAGCCCACCTCTCATCATTCTGTAGACATTTTTTTAATAGCGTATTAGTAAATCAAGGAACAAAGGAACGATCGAATAAATGATTAACTGAATGATTGAATAATTGGTTGAATGAATGAGTGAATGAATGAATTAATTAATAAATCAATGATTCAATTAATGAATAGAATGAATTAACGAATCAATTAATAGAAGAATAATTTAAAAGATTGAGTGATAAAATGAACGAATGAGAAAATTAAAAAACGAAACTAAACCTTACTTCAAAAATCGTCGTTACTGTACTTTCCATTGCACCGACCACCACCATCTGGTCGGCACGCAAAATACCATCCGAACTTCAGAGTGTCAGTCGAACAGCCAACGAGCTGATTCTTCCTACACCACCATCATCATATGTAAATCATCATGAGACCACCATCTAAAACATGCTTATCCAAATTATACTCATGCCTATATAAATTAATTTGATTGTGGCTATTTCTATGCTTAATTACTTTATTTACTTGCCATAGGTATGCACAGCATTTAATAAATTAATGATAATAATTAATCAATCAATCAATCTTCGTTTTGCGTCCAGAGACCCGGTTTCCTGAGGTATTAATAATTAATAACACAACATTCTAAGTGCATAAAATATAATAACTTAAAAGTACAATTTTCACAAACCTCATTGGTTATGGTGATGGGGATTCTTTTAAAACTGAATGATCATGATCTAACAAGTCATGGATTGATGAATCACTGGAATCACACATTATCTTTAATAAATTTAATAACAACATGTACTACAATTTAAGAATGAGGAATATTTTGTAAAACATTAAATGAAAAAAAATGTAGTTTGAATCACTCATAATTAATAAATTTTAATTAAATTGCAAGTTAGCTTGGGGAGTTTGAAGCTTGAATTGAACAAATTACAAAATTGTTTATTTTATAAAATTGATTGATAAGTTGTTTAATATATTTATTTAATTTAGTATATTTATTATTCCCAGACCTAAGCATTGTAAATAAAAATTTTAAAACCAATCAAGCAATAGAATTTAGGATCTTAGGAACAAGTGCTGTTAGTCGCTAGTGTAGTAGTAGTATGTAGTAGTGTAGTGGTTGGTAGTTTCTAGTAGTCTCTCTAGTAGTTTAGTAATTTAATTACTAATTAGTCGTCGTTTAGTGTTGTTACAGTTAATGAGTTAAGTGTTGTTGGTGGTTCACAAAAAATTTTTTTTATTTAAAATGCAAAAAGATACTTAACCGTCATACAGCAATATCTATCCTAAAACAGCATCTAGTATCACCTTTTAAAACATTTTGAAATTTTAAATAAAAGCAATATTCCGAAATTAGTAAATATACGATCGTAACTTTTGACTTGGGCGATAAAAAATCCCCCTCTAATTTCCCTCCGGAAGTAAGCTCCTTGTTCGACCGTCAAAATGAGGGAAGGCCGTTATATTTATTCTAATTATATGGTTTTATTTTCGTGCAATATATATGTACGTTTTTTTCGTTCATTTTTATTATTATTCTTAAAAAATAAATAAATTGACTTTCAATTGTGTTTATTTCGTGTTAAAAACGCTTCATAACTCATCACAATTTCATCATTTTGTCACGGATTACATTTGAATATTCATAAATAATAGAATTCAATGGATGATAACATGGACGTATATAATATATCCATGGATGATAACCCTTTTTGCCTGTTGCAAAAATATTGCAATTAGTTCAAATAATTAATATAATTAATTTCAATGAGTTTAAAAAATAATTTAATTAATTCAACATTATTGTTGAATATATTTTTAATCCTAATGGTTACTTGTATAGCCAGAAATACCACAAAATACCAAAAAATTATTTTTAATAACTAAATTTAACTTTTAGTTGAAAGTGATTTTATTGTTTACATCGGTGATTTAAATTTTTAAATTGAAATTTTTAAATTTATCTCGCTAAACATCACAAAATCAGAAAATTTATTTTCATAAAAATTGGAAATTCAACCGTCATAATTAAAGATTAATTAATATTTCAGACGTCATTCTTGTTGGTACGATTTTTTTAATTTAAAAAATGTTTTCCCCAAATGCAGGCATGGTATGGTGGGTGATTCAACATTTTTTTCAATGTTTGAAACTTTTATTTAAATTTTAAAGGTTAAATAAATTACAAATAGAAGATAAAAAAAATCATTGAAATGACATTGTACAATGTTGACCTGTACATTTATGATCTCTCACAAGGGCTGGCTAAAACCCTTGGTTCTCTGATATTTAGTTAGTTGTTAGTGGGTGAATATTAAAAGAATGGATGGATGAATTGAATGAATGAATAGATGAAAGATTGAATGAGTGATTAAATAGGTGATTGAATAAAAAATGAATGAATAATTTGATAAAATAAATAATTGAATTGGTTGTTTAAGTTAATTTTAATTTGTTTGTCTTTGTATGTGTAAATTATTTAATAGATTGAATGGTTGTGACGAATGAATTTGTAAATGAATGAATAAAAGAATTAATTAAAAAATGAATGAGTGATTAGACAGATGGCTAGAATAATGAATAAAGAAATTGATATGGCTAAACTATCAGCTAATTTAAAAATAGTAGATTCAGTATAAAGAATTTTTTTTATTTCTTCTAAACAGGAAAGCCTGTGGCTGGGGTATGGCACACTGGTGTGGTTGTCTATGGCACTGAATATTTCTTTGGTACTCAGGGCATACAGTTCATACAGCCCGTATTAAAAAATTTTTTTTTGTTTGTTTTTTAATTTTTTTCAACAAAATATCATTCAAATCTTTGATTTTTTTGTATGATTTTTGTTTTTTCTATGGTTTTATTATGATAAATTTTCAACAAAATATCATCTCCAGTTATTTCAGTGTTTAAGGACTTTTGGCTTTTAGCTTTGTTTTTTGTTTTTCTTTCTGTCTCTCTCTCTCTCTCTCTCTCCCCCCTTGTACATATACATTTATCTTCTTTCTATGGTTTTTTCTCTCTCTCTGTACATTTGTAGGGCGGAACAATACTGGGCCATACATACAGGATTCATAACATGGGAAAAACCGAAGTTCCCAAAGAACTTTTTGAAGAATATTTGAGGGATTTAGCTGATGATAAATTTAGGTTCGTTGTTAATTTATTTTCTGAGGCTTTTTTTTTAATTAAGAATTAATTAATTAACCTCTTTAATTAATGAAGTTAAGAATTAACAAAAATATTACTAAAAATAATTATCCAGATATGATAAGTATCATCTTCTTGATCACAACTGCAACACCTTTTCAAACGAAATTTGTTTATTCCTGTTGAACAAGCACATCCCTGATTACATCACTAATCTGCCTCAGGAGTTCAAACAATCGTTAGTTAATGACGTCATCGTCGTTGTCGCTCTGTGGTGTAATTGTATTTGATGGTATTGTAATTTTTTTCACTCATTTAAGGATCTCTTTGCGTTCAAACCCTATCACTGCGGTAGTGCTGCTAGGTACTTTAACCATTACACTACCTTTCTGTATTGTGTCGTATTGTTTTACATCTTGTTTAAATTTCCCTCTCAGCCCTCTGGGGAACTTCATCAAACCCCTCCTCGACGAGATATACAGTAATCGTTTCATTCCATCGCCGTCATCCCTTAACGCCATTCGCTCCATCTCTCCACCCAATTCTCAGCAGACGACAAGCACCATCTCGACAACATCTACCACTGCCAGACACGCACGCTCTGCAAGTGGCAAACGCGCCGATGACGGTAGCGGTAGCAGTAGTGGCGGCGGTGCTGTCCGCAATTTTGGAAGTGTAGCCAGCGATGTCGACATGAGAGGATTAGTGGGATTAGGAATTGGAGTTGGTGGCGGGAGGAGAGATAATAATGAGAATAGGAAGAGAACTGATGAGAAAGATGAAGATTCAGCAAGAGGAAGTTTGCCACAAAAACGACTCGTCAAAGAAGCGATGACCTCCAATTTTGATACTGCCAGCGTCAGTAACGATAGCATTCTAGCCTCTAATAGTAGTATCGATAGCGGGACTAGTCTGATAGCTGCTAGCGACATCAGTAAAGGTAACGCCAGTGACGTTACTGGCCATGCTGCCACTGCTGCTAGAAAAAGTGATGAAAGTGAAGTTGATGACGATGACGACGACGACGATGACGACAACGTTAATAATGCGAATAAAGATAAGAAGAAGGGTGCTAATAATGGTAAATTTGCTGCTGCTGCTGCTACCGTGACTGCTGCTACTGCTGCTGATAAAACGAAAAAAGTTGAAGCAACATCTGACGGTAAAAAAGTGACGTCATCATGTAAAGGTAAAAAAATGAACTCGACAAAATCAGTTAATAAAAAAGCAACGCCACAGTTGTCGAAAAATGATGAGCAGATGAAATCACCTCCGTCGTCTTATGGTAGTAGTAGTGGTGGTGGTAGTAGTAGTAGTAGTAGTAGTGGTGGTGGTAGTAGTAGTGATCTAGCTCATATACTGGCAGAATTCTTCAAGGAGTCAGAAAATTTGAAAGAGGTTTTGAAAACATTTAAGATGGTCGTGTATGAAGTTGATAAGAAGCAAGTTAGTGTTACTGGGCTGGTTGGTTGGTTAGTTGCTCTAGGCCGCGCTGACTATAAATCTATTATATTGATTGATTGATTGATTGATTGATTGACTGACTGACCAATTGACACATCGATCGATTGATTGAATGCACTTATTACTTCGTTATCAGTTGACGAAATGCGTGGACGATATTAGGACACCAATGAACAAACAGCAACTGGACGACATTTTAAAATGTTTGAACGGTTTCGCCGTCATATCTATGGAGCATATTGAATTTCTATGTTAGCTCGGTCAATTATTTAAAAATAATATCAATAAATACATGAAGACATTCAACATCACAATGATACTCCAGTGATTTAACAAAAACCTTAAAAACAGCTCAGATCATAATGGAGGGAGCAAAACAACAACGCCGATCGATGCAACAACAGCAGCCATTAAATGCGCTCCTGCTACTACAAGCGTTGACGCTAAACAAAAACGTTGCTGACGTCATATTAAAAACAGAAGATAATGCATTTTCAAGACTCGTCAAAAAGATATCAGATCTAGATGATGACGTCAACGGCAGCAGTGCAAATTTTGAAATTATTTTCTCTATGGTTAAATGCGTTAGTTTACGAGTTGCGATTTTTAAAGATATTGACACACACACACACACATTCACACACACGCTATATTTTACACATTCACCACACACACACAAACACACATGCAAACAAACACACTCTCACTTTCCTCAAACAGCTCTGCAACTTAACGAGCCACGCAAAAATATCACAATCCCTATACCAGCCGAACTACAATGACGACGACGATGACGCCAGCGAAGAAAAACTAGCGACAACTGAAAATGGATTTGCGAAAAATAAACATAGATACACGAAATTCATTTCTGATTGTGTTAACAGTATTGGCAAGCTGGACGACGATAGCATGTCGAAGTGTTTCTCCGCTACCATTGACTGCATATGCAATGTCTTTCTGGCTTGCAGCGAACAGGTCTTCTTTAATTGTTTGTTAATTAATTTTAATTAACTAATTAGTCTGTTCATCATTAATTTAATTACATTTATAATTTCTAAATGAATATCTCTATTGTTTAACCAGAATTTTGTCACTTTCTGTGTGTCTTAGTTTTGTTATGGCTATTATACATGCTGTAGTTCGTTCGATTGTTCATTCATTTTTTCGTTCGTTCGTCCATTGAAAAATCTTATAACCCATTATTTTAAACGACGATGATAATAACATAATGATAAATAATAAAATAAATAAATAATAATAACCTTTCTGTTATTTTTATTTTCCAGGTTGACATGCAGGCCAGGACAGAATGGGGAATAAACATCATCTATCATATGTGCAAGGATCATAATAAAAGTAATAATAATAATAAAAATAATAATAACTATAATAGCAATAAGAATAATAACTAAGTTACAATTAGTGATAATAACAATAATAATAATAATATGCAAAGATAAAATGAAATTTTAGATATGGAAAAGGCCTCAGACAAGCAGTGGTTTGTTCTTTTTAAATGCCTGGAGTGCAATAGAAGGGTAGTTTAGCTAATTTCGTTTTAACTACATAAGTATAAACGCACACACACACATACACGCAAAGAACACACACATACATACACCACAGGCAGATACAAACACCCACACACACACACACACACACACACACACACACACACACACACACACAGATGATAGCAATAGCCAGGGATATGATGATGACGTCAACAAAGAAAGCACAGCAGCAGCAACAACAAAAACAAATCACAACAACAACGACGAAAAACAAAGACGACAAAACCATCAACAACCAGGCAGCAATAGTAGTAGGATTGGGAAACAAAAAGCATCTAGACAACGACAATCATTGTTTCTTTAAAAACTACACATGCCAATACATTGAGCGATTTTACGCGTAGCATGTTGTGAGTACATAGATAGTTAGCAGTACTTTAATTAGTACATACATACATACATACGTGCATACATTTGTACGTACATACATACGTACATACATTCGTACCTACATACATACATACAAGTACTTATTTACTATAAGTACTCATTCATAATACAGAGCCTATTTGTACTATATATATATATATATATATATATATATATTTACAATATTCTATAAATTCTACCGAATGTTTGGCGTTAATATATATATATATATATATATATATATATATATTATTTTAATGTGTAATCTCGTGAATATCTTGGCGTATAAACAAGCGTACACTCATATTGATTTATACATAAACCTACATGCACACACACACACAAGCACCCACATTCATATAATTTTTACAGTATAAAATTTCATAAATTCACGGTTCTGCTTTATCTCACAGCAATTTTAACTAAATAAATAACACTATACATAACAATAATTTTTAAATAAATTTTCAGAATTTTCGTAATAAATACAACACGCAATTCTTATAACTTGTCGTTTATTTAATCATTTCATTTAATTAATTACAAAAAAAAATGGTTAAAACCATGTACACGTTAGTACACTTGTTAAGTAAGCATCCTATCCCTTCAATTCTTACACGTAAACTACATGCAGTAATAATAATAATAATAACAATAATAATAATCGCTGGAATTAATAGTAATAATAGTAAAAATAATAGTGTTTGAAAAAAAAGAGTATTGCGGTGGCGTAACGGTAAAGTGCCTGGCACTGCTATTGTAATGACCAGATTCGAATGCAGGGAGATCCCCGCCAATCATGCGCATGCATTATGTGGTGTGACCGTGGGTGTGACGTGTTGATTCACAGGTGTAAGTTGCGTAGAGGCACTGTGTGTTTGTTGTTGGTGCCTCTTAGAAAATCTAGGAAAGAATTTGTAGAAAAAAACGCATTAAAATTGATTACGCTCATTATCATGAACGTAACCCTCATTTTCGATTTTAAACGACATGGAAGAGTCCATTGCTGACGTCTCGAGGGGGGAACAACTTAGAACGCCATTACTGTTATCAATACTATTGCTGCTGCCACTGTTGTGGCTGTTCCTGCTGTTGTGCTGTATGGAAATTCTTTGCAGAGAATTCAGTGATGAGGAGGGTGACGATGGTGACGGTCTTAACAATAATGATGATGACGACGACGACGATGATGGCGATGATGCTCCCTGTGGTGGCTGTCTAGATGATAACGATGATGATAATGATGATAGTAGCGCAGGTCCTGGAAATGATCTCAAAAACGGAAGCGGTGGCAGTAGTGATAATGATTGTCTATATGATGATGATGATCGAAGAGGTCTCGGGAATGATGATGGTGGTAGTCTCGATAATGATGACGGCCGCAGTGGTGGTGGTCTTGATAATGATGACGGCCGCGGTGGTGGTGGTCTTGATAATGATGATGATGACAATGTTGCGGGCGGTTGTGTTGACGATGACGACGATGATGATGATGATAGTAACGCTGATGTAGTGTCTGCCAGTTGGCAGAGGAGTGATTCGTAGGCTGACCTAGACAGTCTCAAGACCTTTTCTGCATTTGTAAAAAAAAATTTAACAGAATAATTTAAAAGTTAATCATTCTTTGTTTCATTATTATTATAGAAATGTATCTATACTTCAACAATTATTATTATTATTGCTATTATTTGCTCTTATTATTCTTATTATTTGTTACTATTACTCTTATAATCATTATCATCACCGATCTGACTCACTTTGGGGCTCTGGACTTGACTGGACTTCTTGTGAGAGCTCTTTCTTAATATCTATAGCCTGTTGTTGTTGTTGATGATGATGATGAAGATGTTCATGATGATGATGATGATAATAATAAAAACAACAACAACAATAATAATAATAATAATATCGACGATGATGATGAAATTAGGATTACCTGAACAATATGCAGATCGCCACCATCCCCATCACCATCCCCATCACCCTCAACAATTCCTTCTGGAAAACTCTCCGTTTTCAGCTGCACTAATTTTACACTACCATCCGGATTAGTGATTTGCTGTACTAAGCAGCCCCCAGTTGCAGGGATGTGCTGCTGCTCCGGTTTGAAGATGGGATCGAGCAGGAGGTCCTCTCTGTTGTGGTATTCGTAACAGTTTCGAACTATCTTTCTCAGAGCTAGAGTCCAAGGAACCTACGAAGTTGCAATTGGAAATTTTCATCAGAACATACAAACACAGACCTACATTGTCCCTCAAGCTACAAACAACTAAGCCTCTATCACCCCCCACCTCACCACAGACAAACATCTACAACCTCTAATTTTCAGTCGCGCCATAGCAACAAAACCCTCTATTTTCGCTCACTTCCGACAAACTAACGGACCATACGTTTGACCTCCTCTGTCCTCGTATCACTTCTTATGTTGGCCCAGGAACCATCCTTGGGCCACCAGACAGGTCGCCATTCCTGTTTACCCCACCCAGGTTTGCTCTTCCCGGTTGAATGTTTCAGCATCTCTGGTACAAAGTATCTCAATTGGGCCTTGTGAAGTAGTGAATGGAATGCCAGGAATAAATTTTCATTATCACTCAATCTCACTCACTCACTCACTCACTCACAAACACCTATGGTGTTAAATATCACTTTGGAAAGTGAACATGTTGAACATGAAGTAAATGATGATTATAGTGTAGCACATATTGATGATGATGATGGTGCTGCATATGATGACAATAATGTTACAAGTGATAAAGTTTATAACATATAAACTTGAATTACATCTACAGAAAATAACAAACATTTGATAATTTGAAGATGTTATCAAAAATAAAATACTTTCTAATAACGTCAATCAGTCAACCTGAGTCATTCGCTCGAGCCCAATTAGGGTGCCATCAACAGAGAGTGGGGGCAACTCAAATTGGCCGATATTTTCAGGGATGTGCTGGTTTTTTTGAGATGTCAGGGACTTTTCAAGGTTATGAAGGATGTTCCACTTTCGATTTTTTATCTTTGTAAAAATGAAAAATACTAGATAAGAAAAACACATTTTTTCAAAAACTTTAAACAACGCTAATTAAAACCAAACCGAAAGATGTGTAGCAAAAAAATCTATAAAAAAAATCACCAATAACAACAATCTAAACCTACCACACATTCCAGCGGCTGAGAACCAAAGACTCTAAAAGAACTTGGGGATTGGGCATCCTTACCAGGTGAACAGCATATGATGACTGCCTGCTGGCCAACCCTTACTATGTACTCCTCCATCAGAGAATACAACTTCCTAATTTTGATTACAAATTAGGAATTAGAACTAGGAAAGAATTAGAGAAAGAGTTTTTTTTAGAGGATATTGAAATCCAAAGTTGAAAGTTTATATTTTTAAAGTTAATTCAACTTAAATTTGTATGAAAAATTTCTAATCAGTGACCTCATAAGACGAGTTTGTTGTCGTTTTCTAGTGCAAGGATTCATTTCAAATGAGTGATTCCTTCTTTTCTTGCCTGAAGCTATGGCAGCTGCGGCTGCTAAGCCAGCTGGTCCTTGTTAATTAGCACAATCAAACTTTTATAACCATTTAGTAAATATTAAATTAAAATTATTTAATTAATTATTGCTATATATATTATTATTACTTATTCATATTATTAAACTAAATTAATTTAAATAAATTATTTACAAGTTAAAATTAAAACTGCTTTACAACTTTAAAAAGCTTTAATTTAGAATTTACATATTTTTACATTTTACAAGTAACAAGTAAGTAAGATTCATTTATTTATAATAAGTAATTAATTAAATTAAAATTAAATTAAGTTATTAAGTAATTGTTCAAAGATTAGGAAGTAATAGAGAAAAGTATTTTTATTAACAAAAGTTGTGACTAACCGGCCGAAACCAGTTGAGCAGTAACAAGGTCATTGGTGTCCAGTAACTCTTGATACATGGGGTCATCTTCCTCGTCTTCGTCGCCATCATTCACGACACTTTCTTCATGGTGTAGAGAGTCATAAGTTTGGTGGAGTTCCATTTTTAGGAAAGTTAATAAAAATTAATTCTTTATTATAAAAAATATAAATTAAATCTAAAAATATTTTAATTTTATTTTTTAAAAGCTCGCAAAAAAGACATAGCAAATTAACGCAAAAGTGTGAATATAGCCATGCTACTAAAAATAAACCTAAATTGTAAAAGGTGAACCAACCATGGAGTATTAAGATAAGAGTTAACTTTATTTTACATTTTTATCGAGTTACTGGTTTCTATCAGTCCTATTGCCGATGCAGATGTGAAATTGTATAATATATAAATATTAATTTATAAATTATTGACTTTAGGGATTAATAATAATATTTTGCTTGATTGTAACGTAAAATCGAAACAAACAAGCAAACAAATTTAAATGAAATCGGTTTGTTATTAAATTTCTATTATTTGAGAATGAATTTCTCAAGAAACAGCTGTTTAATTAGGGATTTTCTTGTAAGTTTGTTTTTCTATAAACTTTCTGCTTGAAAAACTTTGATTTATTACAGCCACATTTCGATTTTTATTATATTTATTTCATCAAATAAGAAAAAAAACCCATCTCGATAGCCTAGGAAAGAAGGACCAGACTGCAAAATTTACGAATGTTCGCCAAAGCAAAAAGTCCGGGACGTACTACACGTCAAAGACTTAATTAGCCCTCCCCAGCTGACCAAATACCACCAATTTATGTTGGATACCAGTGAATGCACGTACGAAAGTCGGAAACATCCGCTGGAAAAATCCACCCTTTCTCCGCCATATGCACCTTGCATTGACCGAATGAAAACGACCTTCGGCGTAACTAGTGCTAAAGGTTTATCCATCTAATATTTCTGTTTTGTTCTCGGGTTTTTACTTATTTTTAATTTTGCCAATAAATCCTTTAAAATTGAAATCTAGAAACTAAACTACCTGATATCATTTGAATGCAGACATCTCTGCAAAGGATTTGATCAACCCTCTGATCTCAGCTGACCAGGTTGCGTGTGAAGGTCAAAGAGGCCACGACCTTTACACTTTCACCCACAAGGCATGCGATTGAATAATAATAATAAGTCATACCTTATTGCATTCATAATTATTTTAATTATTAATAAATATGTTATGACGTAATCAGTGAAGCAATTTTTTAGGCAAGTTTGCCGTCGTAACAATTGATGTAGAGACTTTTTCAAATTTTAACAATCGCCAAATTTTTCAAAGTGGGAAGATTCCGCCTCAATGGTCCCTCTTGGCTACACCTCTAAACATAATAAAATAATATATAAAATAATAAAATAATATATGTAATTATTTTAATATCACTTTCTAAAAAGTCCTTTAACCCTGGAGAATTGT